CCTTTTATTATTTTAGACAAAGTCTTTTACTTCGAAGCTAATTCCTTTTTCCTTTTTTCGTATTTTTGGTTTTTATTTTTTGGTTTTTTGCCGGGCTTTTTTTTAAACGCCCGCAATAAATTTGCCGGGAATACGTTATATATCCGGTAATTTACCGGAAGCTTTAACCGGAACGCCAAACCGGCTAACCCAATTATTTTTAAAATTTGAAAGGGTTTTAACCATTTGTCCGATAGCTTTTTTAACGGCCTTTTTATTTTAATATTCGCCGTATTTAGCAATACCCAATTGCTTACCCCGAAAAGCATTAAGGTCCTACCTTTATTATAATATTTTTTGTACGTATTATTCGCTTTTTTTAGCAATTTTTTGGCTTGCTTTTTAATTGCTTCCAAAATTTCCGCTTTAATTTCGGCCGTTACCGAAGGTTTTTTTTTAATTACCCGAAGGTTATAAAGCTTTCGTAAGTAAAACCTTATTAGCAAAAACGCCGGGGTTTTTTTGCAACCCCAAATGCACGTTTGTATTGTGCACTTACGTTGTTAAATGCAATAGCAACGCCTAATCGTTTTGCTTTTCGCAGCAAAAGCACCGAAAGTAATGCTTTACTGTTTGGTTTGTTCGTTCCGTTTGCCCGTCGGTTTAAAAATAATATGCTATCGATAACCTTTTTGCAATTTTTAAATATCCGGCGAAAATTATTTAAAACCCGTTTATAAATAGCTTATTTCGGTTCGATATAATCCTTTCGGGCGTTTTTAATAATTTTTAAACGTATGTAAATAAAAAGTTTCCCAATTTTTTATTGGTTAATTTTGTAAACGTTGGGATAAAAAAGTTATACTTGGTAAACCGGTCGACCATTATTAATATTGCGTTGCGCTTTTTGCCGGTTCCATTTACCGACGTTAAAAATTTTCCGATAAAATTTATCGATAGCTTTTGTTTCGGGCGGTTAAGCACGGGTAAAAATGCTAGCAATTCGTAAAGTATTTGTATTTTTGGCTTTATTTGCTGGCATATTTAATACGTTCGTACGTATTTGCGTACGTTTTTGGCCATACCCGGCCATTTAAACTACCGTTTAAACTTTTTTAAAATTTTAGCTATGCTTTTGTAATTTTTCGTTGGGTTATCGTATTGTTTTTAAAGCATTGTTCGTTTAAACGGTATTAAGTTTGGAATTTAAATTTTTTTTTGTGCTTAAACAAACCGTTGCTAATTTTCCAAACGTTAAGTTTGTTTTTTTAGGTACCGCTTTAAACGAAATCGTTTTTTATTTATACTTTAAAAATGCGCTTTAATATTATTTTAATATCCTTTTTAATAATGGTCGTCCTTACGTAAGCTATTTTTTGGAATTTGGTTAATAAATCGTTTCGGAATTTTTCCTTTGCCATATTAATTTTTTTATTTACGGGCATATTTTAAAAACGTTTTAATAAATTATCCGCAAGGTTTTGGTATTTTAGCTTCCATTTAATTGTAAAATCGTACTTTGCTAAATCCTTAAATTATTTTGCTTAGCGCTTTATTACTTTTTTTTTGTTAAAATATGGGTATGGTTTAAATAATTGGTAATTATTTTAATAGTTTTTTGTAAATAAACCAAATAATGCCGTTACTTTTTAAAAGCTTTTACGATTGCTAGCAATTTTAAATTAAAAATTGCATAGCGCAACTTTTTTTGTTGCAGCTTTTTTAACATGTAAGCCACCGGGTGCTACCGGCCGTTTTGCAGCTGCAGCAGTACCGCCCTTATCGCAAAAGCCAAAGCGTTGGTCCGTACGTACAGCGGCTTTAAAAGGTCGAAATGCACTAATACCGAAGCTTTCGTAAATAATAATTTTAATTTGCAAAAAGCTTTTTTCGCAACGTTTTTTAAGTAAAATACGGTGTTTTTGCTAAAAAGGTTCGTTAAAAGCATAGTAATTTTCGCGTAACCCTTTACGAATTTCCGATAATATCCCGTAAAGCCTAAAAACATTTGTACGTTTTTAATGCTTTCCGGTATCCTTTATTTTTAAATTGTAATAACTTTATCCGGCAAAATTTCGACCCCGAATTTGGTTATTTTAAAACTTAAAAAGTTAATGTTATTCGTTTCGAACTCGTATTTAGCCGGGCTAACGTAAAGCTTGTACTTTTCGAATTATTTTAGCACCGTTTTTACTGCTTTACGGTGCTCTTCCCGTATTTTGGAAAAAATAAGGATATCGTTCAAATACATAATATAAATGCTATTAATTAATTTTTTAAATGTTATATTAATAAAGCTTTAAAATGTTGCCGGTGCGTTGGTTAAGCCGAATAGCATTATTAAGTATTCGTAATGTCCATATTTATAACGGAAAGCAATTTTCCATTCGTTTTTTTATTGGATCCGTATTTTGTAATAAGCGTTTTTTAAATCCAATTTGGTAAAGTACTGGTTTTCGAACACCCGGTTAAATATTTTGTAAATTAACGGGAATGCCAGCCGGTTCTTCCTGGTAATTTTATTAAAATTTTGGTAATCGATACAAAAACGGAACTTCCTATCCTTTTTTAAAATAAATAAAATCCCGGCGCCGGCGGAATTAATTAAATGCCGGATCCAACCTTTCGTTATAGCTTTATCGAAATATCCCCGAAAAGTTTTTAATTTTTTTTCGAATAAAAAATAAATGTTTCCGTAAAGCGGCATCGTTTTTTTTTTTAATTCGATTGCGTAATTTTAATTTGTATATTTTAGCAAAAGGTTCGATTTAAAAAGCTGCGCATATTTTGCAACCATTTTTTTAACCCATTTCGGGAAAGCTTTTAGCTTTCCCCCGGGGTTTTTCGGGGTTTCCGGGCGTGCAATCGTTAATACGGCTATCGTTTGTTCCAATTGGATTAATTTTTTAGCTATTTCCAACAAAATTACTTTAACCTTTTTAATAATTACCGGGAACTTTTACTTTATATCCCCAAACCGGATTTTAATATCCTTTTGCTAAAGCTAAAGCATGCTTAACGTAATGTTATACCCGGCCCGGGGCATTATTACGTAAAATACTATTAATTTTCGGGTTATTCCCTAGCTATCCGTTACTTAAATTTTGTATTCCTTTACCTTTAGCGTAAGCATGCATTTTTTGGTATCGAATTACGCTAAATGGCTTTCGTTTGGCACCGGTATTTTTTTTGCTTTTATTAAAAAACGGCTGTGCAATAAATTAACGTTATTTTTATTGTTAACCAGCGCTTTTAACTTTACCCGGCGACCGTTAATCCGTAAATACATTTCGGTTTTTTAGCGCGTTTTGGCCGCCGGGGCGCATTTTTAAGCCCCGGTACTTAAACGGCCAAATAGCGGTATTAAATTGGGTAACAATATTTTGCTTTTTTTGGGGCACGCCGGCCGGATATAGCCTAGCTTTTTATACCCGTAACATTGTACTTCGGGCCTTTTTTTTTTCGCCTTTTATATGGTTGCTAAAGCTAACGGGGTTTCCGGGTTATCCGTTCGTATTTTGCATGTTATAACGATATGGTTTAATTGCCCGCATTTAAAGCAAGTAACCGGCTTTTTAAAAGTTAAAATACCGGTATTCCCCGGCATTTTTTTGTACGGTTCCAATATTATTTTTGTTTTAAAAGCTTTGGCTTGCAATTTTTCCATAATGTAAAAAAAGCTTTTAAATATTACCCGTTTTTGGATTTTGGGGCGGAACCGGTTAAAAAGCAATATTATCTTTATTTATTTAAATGCTAATTCGGGAAAATCGTCCTTTACCAAATTCCAACGAATCCGAAACGCTTTAAACGATTCGTACTTTTTTTGCTTAATAACGGTATTTCCCGTAAGCTTTTTAATCGCTTGCTATATTCGCGAATCGGGGTTTTTCGACCTTGCTTAAAATTATTGCAAAAAATCGGCCCAAATAAACGATACCTCGGTATTTGGGTAATGCATTTGCTTATATTTTGTTCATTGTATTTGCTAACGATGGTTAAAAGTGCTAAAGGTTATTTAAACCTTTATACGGTCCTTACCGTAACGTTTCCCTTTGCTTTTAAAAATAAATTTGTAATTGCTAATATAATGGGCGATATTTTGCTAAATTGCCGACTTTTTAAGCATAAAAGGTTTAAAAGTAACTTTACTTTACGTAAAACCTTTCCGTTATTTAAAAGTATTTTTTTTATTTTCGTTTAAACCTTTATGCGCATGCTTTAACCTTTTATTTTAAATTTTTTAAATTAAACGGGCGCGCTTGCTTTGGGCTTTTAACGCATCGTTTATTTTTTGCAGCTTTTTTACGAAAAGGTTTTCGAAATCGTCGGGAATTTGCGGGGCTTTTTTGGTATTTTGTTTCGGTAGCTTAACGGCCCTTTCCAACGTATTCGACGTAGCGTCGGGCGTTATTGTAAGCGGTACGAAATCGCAAATGCCCTTTTTAAGCTTGCTTAATCCCTTCCGGTAATTACCCGGGCTTGCTCCCCAAATAAAAAAGGTAAAAAAGAAAAAAAACAATATGTTAAAGGTTAATCGGTACAAAAGCGGGTAATTACCGGGTTACGGGCCGGATACGGTATTTTTTTTATTAAGCTTCCGTAAATTTTTTACCAAAAGTGCTATCGCCAACAAAAATTGTTCCTTTTTTAACCTTTCCCTTTTTCGTACCTTTTCGGGCACGCAAAATCGGTTTTATAAATTTTCCGCGCTTTATGCGCCTTCGTACAATTTAAACTTTATTTTATTTTTTAATTTTGCCGTTATGCTTTGGCCGCAATATTGGTAATTCGCCGGCATATCCCCGGAGGGTCCGTGCCCGGCTGGCTGCCAGCGCCCCCTTCCTTTTTTTTTACCGGGCGGTTTCGCCCGTGCATTTAACGCTCCCCGCTTTTTGCCGGGCGGTTTCGCCCGTGCTTTTAACAATATGCTTTTTACGGGCTTTTTAAAATGTATTACACTTTGCATATCTTTTAAAACTTAAATGTATTGCACCATTAATTTAAAGCGTTCCCCGTATTATACCGTTTTTATTTAACTTTTTATTTATAAAGCATAATATTTTACGGCTATTACAAACCGCTTACGGGTTTTTTTACGTTTTTTCCCGGTAGCCAGCCGGTTTGGCACGTTAAAACATTTTTTTGGGCTATTCCTTTAGCCTTTGTTACTTTTTTCCTGTAATACCCCCGTCCTTTCCAGGTATTTACCCGCTAAGGTCCGGTATTTTCCTTATTTTATAAATTTATTTCCAATAAATTTGCTTTATACGTTTAAACAATCTTTTTCGTAATATTTTTTTTAAAATTTACGAATTTTCCAATTCGTTGTAACTTATTTATTTAACCAGGTATTTTCGTTTTTGCAAAAGCCTTTTATATCCCAATAAAGCTTTTATTTCGAAGCGATCCTTTTTTTTTTTCGATTTTTGGTTTTTTATTTTTTGGTTTTTCGCCGGGCCTTTTTTTTAAACGCCCGCAATAAATTT